TGCGTGCTTTTCCTCCTCATGTCCAATACAATTTACACAATTATAATGTTGTTCCTTGATATCAAAACTCACCTGGGTTCTCAGACCACTCTGCCATACTTTTTATTCCCCATTTGACTATGTTTTAAATATCTTTTAATGATATTGAATACAGTTTTGATCTTGTTCAAGCCCTACTATCTCTTAACTGAACCATTGTTCTAATTTATTTTCCTGTTTTTTCTACCTCTAGCTTCACCTTTCCTCTAATTATCTGCTTCCTGTGTAATCTTTCCTAAAACCACATATGATAATGACATGAACTGCTCTACAATTCTAAATCAATCACCTGCTCAAATAATTTTTATTTTTTTCCATTAAAAGATTAAATTCTCAGCTTAGAATTTAAGACTTTCTACATTTGACCACAGTCTACTTTATTCAGATTTACATACAACCCTATATACCTTTCACTTCAATCATACTACAGGCTCTTTATTCCTAGAGCATTCCCTATACATCTCTATTCATATTCCTTTGCTTATGTTCCCTTAGTCTTGAATAATCACCCCACAAGGCCCATTTACATGTCTTTAAAGACTCTGCTCAAAAAACACTTCATGTGAATGCTCTTCTTCCTAGTTTGGAGACTTAATAATTCCTCCTTGATTTTCTATTTTACATTATATGTCTTCATCTCTGCATTGGATATTAAACAATTCAAGAGGAAGGAATGACCTCACAGGTTGTATACCAATGGTCAGAGATTTTGTGCATAAGCATTATTAAAATAATAAATATCTATTGAATGGCATTGAATATTGAATCACTTAAGATATAATTTTACAAAACCCTGTAAGAAGTAATATATACTTAGTATCTTTCTGTCAAAATTTAATTTGCATATATACATTTTAAGTTAGTTAAATCAAGAAAACATCAAACTGAATTAATTGAAGATCAAATTTTAAGATATATCCTTCTTTTCAATGGAATCTTTAAAATGCATTAAATTAAGTATAATAAAAATTAAAGCATACCAGTCAATATCAATATCAGTAGTCACTGTTTCTATTTGAATAAACCTGGGTTCCCACAGGAAATACATGGCACACTGAAGGTGTAATTTTAAAATAGTTTAATAAAGGCCCGTTTACCTAAGATCGAGTATGGTTTAGGGAAACCAGAGGAGATCAAGCAATACCCTGAAGCAAGTAATACTTACCATGGAAAAGTTCACCATCTGTTGGCCAGAAGTGGTGAAGGGCTGGAACCTTTACCAGGACCTGGAGACAGAGGGCTCTGCAGAGAAGAAGGCAGAGTTATTGGAGCTGTGACCTTTAGTAGAAGGATGTAAATAACCTGTAGCACACCCAGATCTAGCACTATTTCCTCTTTCTTATCTTGTGCTAATATTTCCTAGTGGCCAAATTTAACCAGAAGTCAACATTGCCATGTAACCCAAGGACCAAGGAAGGCCAGTAATGTGATAAATAGAAAGTAGGGTGGAGAAGGATGGAAGGGGAACATGGCAATGTTTGATATCTGGGAGTTATGTTTGGACATTTTGTTTTTATTTGACTTTTTTATGCTGTTAAATCTGTTTCAGAGAATAATTCAGATTAATTTATTCCATCAAAAAATATATTGGTTTAATGAAAATGTGAAATTCTTTTTAGTTAAAAAAAGTCTTCAGATCCAATTATTTTGCATTTTTATGAAGAAACTCAACATCAATAACAGGAAAAACATTGTGGAAGGAGAGTGGATTCAGAAACCTTTTGATTATAGCTTTCTGTTTGAGTACATGATCAACTTCACAGTCAGATATTTTCACATCTTAGAATTGTTAGTAGTACTGATGTGCCTTATTAAAAGCACAAAAGTGTTTTTATTCTTCTCGGAAAATGTTTTGAAGCACGTAGATTCAGTAATATAACCTTTGGAATTTATTTGCAGGTTAATTTGGTAGCCTTCTTACACCTGATAGATACGAATCTGCTTTGAGTTCTTCACTTAAAATATATAAAAGGCCAAGCAAAGTGATATATACCAAAAAAATCTGAGAAATCAATCCTTAGCATTAAGAAGTGGTTGATGAGATAAAACAAATTTAAAAAATCTGAAATAATTTAAATAACTAGTTCCTTTTGTCCCAAAAGCAAGGGACATGAAGAAATAATCCTTCAGAAATAATAATTTTCTTACTTTGGTATTGTACTTTAAAATAGAAAATTCAAGTTCAGATACAATATCTAACTTAAGTCTCCTAATAAACCTAGCTGTGATACATATTTGAATATATTCTATTACCCAATTTTTAAATTTGAAAAAATTGTGTATTAAAGAGATCAAGTAATATTCTTAAGTTCCAAAATTAATTAATGACAACTACTGTAACTGAGCTGTCTGACTCGCAGTCGAAGTAGTCTTTAGGCTCTACCAGGATCTATAAAACATTTTGAGTATATAAAATTTATATAACATTACTATACTAAGAACATTTTTAGAACATACACAAAAAGAATATTTTAAAAGGACATGAGAAAAATAAATGTAAATAGATTGAGATTTTTTTACCTGCTCCCAGCACAGCCTGCTTTAAAGATTATTGGTCAATAGTATATATACCAATTATCCTCTGAACTAAATAAAGTTGCATTCCTCAATGTTCAACTTACAAAAAATAAAACCCAAAGGATCTTAGATATCCTAGGTCCAAAATTATGAAGAAAAAGGAAAAACTGTGAAAGGTATTTTTGAGGCAAAAATTATAGAAGTCACATAGATTTAAGGACCATTGGAGATATTCAGAATGATTTTTAATTTTTTAATTTAGTCATTAGGCAAATGCTGATTATTCGAGTTATGGAATATATGAGATAGAATACCTAAGTTTAGTTTTATATTACCATAAATTTGAAAATCTTTCCATATGCTTATTGGCTATTCAGTTTTTCTCTAATATAAAAAATCTGTAAGGTGTTTTGCCTTTTTCTGAACTACGGTTATTTTCTTTTTCTTGTTTGATTTATAGGAATTCTTTCTAAATATCAATATTAGCTTTTGTCATTTTATGTTCTTTGTATCTGGTGTCTTTTCTGCAATATTATGTTTATGAGACACCCATATTTTGATGTGTCATGGTAGTGTTCATAGTATTATATTTTGAGTCCTATTAAGAATTCCCTAACTCAAACTGGCTTAAACAATAAGGAAATGTATTTTCTCATATAAATGAAAGTCCAAATGTAGAACAGTCTCCAGTAGTGACAAACAGTTTCAATGATGTTATCAAGATATAAATTTTCTTCCACCTCTCTGCCATTCTTATAATCACATCATAGCTGCCAGGTGCAAAGGGGCTGTATTTCTGTGTTCAGTAAAATAAAGGCAGAGCCTCTTTTAAAGGAATAAATAATTCTATTGCTATTTAAATTGTTCTACAACACAAGTGAAAAATATTTTTTGTTCTAAAATTGATACAATATCATGTCAATTATATATCTTTCAAAAAATTTTTAATAATTACTTTTGAACTTGGAACAGTTATTCAATTTCTTTGTTCATCAGTTTCCTCATTCATAAAAAGGAGGGAATACTACTTCAGATTGGAGTTCAATGTATATGTAGTTCCCTGTGAAAGCTGTTAAATTGTTGGCAAAAAGACTGAAGGATTCTGGACTAAAACTCTCCAAGGTCTCTTTCAGCTCTAAAAGTTGCAGAATGCTAGTAAATAGGAAACAAAATAAACAGAAAACATTTCCCCTCAAGTTATAAATCTAGAGTTACATATGAAATAGAATGTTTACCAAGTATAGGCCCTTAAAACCATATTTTTTATGACATATACACTATACAGAAATGGTTCTTACTTTGTAGGGATTTCCTGTATAAAACGAAATAGCTACTGTCCCTTGTTAATTTCAAACACTGTCTTATGTTTTGTACTTATAAGGATATAGTACATGGGGGAATTAAAAAGTCAGGTTTTTTTTTTAAATCTATAAAGCATTCACAATATTTTTCTACTTTAAATTAAGTTATGTAGATTCAAAAATCTTTTACCAGGATATATAAACTCTTTGAAAAATTAAGTAGATGCCAACTTCCATTAAAATAGTAGTCCACCAAAATGAGTTCTCCCATTATTCCATAATAATGAAGTTATAGCTGGGCAAAAGTCTCTACAGCTTGATTACATTTCTCAGTCTCCTTTGATGTTAAATAGGTCATGTGATGAACTTTTGCCAATGAAATGTGATCAGGAAAATTTACATCATTATCAGATTTGGCCAGGCTTCTCTTTTCCTTTCCCAAATTCTGAGACCTGGATCTGGAAGTAAACTATTTCTACCATGCAGATGAAACAACGACCTAGGTCAAGGCAGAGGAACATGATAAAAAGAATCTGCGACCTGAATGACCATGTGGAGCAGAGCTTTCAGACACCCTGAAGCACTTGAATCAGGAATTTTACCAGATTTAAAAAAACAAAAACAAAAAACTCTTCGCTATTTTTAATAGTTACTAAGTATTGGGTTTCTTGGTTATTAGCAACAGAGTCTTCACCATAAAGGCAGATTTGTTAAGTTTAAAATACAATAGAGGTTTTATGTTTAAAATGATAGAGTCAAAGATAAAGTGAGGAGACCTGGAAAACTTTTATCAGCTCTATGTATGAGATATGAGAGAAATTGTTGTTTAAGTTTCTCCCTCAAAGAACTCAATTTTTAGAGTAGAATGCTTATCATCTAGATAAGAATCAAGCACCAAACAAATTCACTGTCATCTTTTCTGTTTTGTCTAAAGCACAACAGATGTCTGAAAGTCTGGCTTTAAAAAATGACTTTCTTACTAACAAATTATCATGAAATATGCAAAGATGATCCTGACAAGTAGATTCTGAATATTAATTTTATAATCAGTAAAATCTGCTATGGATTAAACACAATGTAGTTTAAAGCTGATCATTGAGAGCTGCTAAACTTAGTTTAAGGTTTAAAATTTGAAATATGAGCATGATTAATTCTTATAAAGTCAAAGGTAGGTATTATCTAAATGTTTTCCTTGGTCCATATTTCCAATGCTAAAATATTGTCTATATCAGATAGATAAGATATATATCAAAAAAGAAAGTTCGTAGCAGAAAAATTAGAATTTGTAATTGATCAATTAATCATTAAACAGAAATATTAATAAATTGTCATTCATTCATGAAGATTTTGTAACAAATTCTCAGTAAAAGTATCTGTTCCTTGTAGCAAAACAGAAAATGGTATTTTGCCATCAGAATCAAAATCATGCTGCTAATAATTACTTAGTATACAGTGATAATTCAATTTATTAAGTAATTTAGTATAGTTTCATCATGGCTCTACTCATGAATCGACAAACTTAAATCTAAGACTATTTAAACAAGAAAAAAATGTTTTCAAGACATCTTCAAATATTTATAATATTCAAAAAGTTTAGCCAGGAAAGTATGTCCTATAATCTACATAAGTACTCATTTTATATGACTTTAATTTATATCCTAATTTTTATATAGAAAAAGATAAAGTATATTTTTGTGAGTAGCAGCCATAAAATTGCTGATTAAAAGTGCCAGTCCTCCTCACTGAGACATATTTATTTTGCTTGTTTCTATAAATTATAAGCCCTCTTTTTACTGGACAACAAATTTGAAAATATAAAAATAAAAGGTCATTGTAACAGGTGTAATGATATGCACTTTTAGTTCATTTTAGATTAAACTAGATCCTAGATCAAATTTTTCTAAAATCAACTTTACCCATGTCTTGAACAGGTATTTTAATATAACATTTTTTTATATTACTACATGATTATCAGTTATCAGAAAGAAACTTCGACAAAGTTTAAATGTAATTGGCCTTAACCCAACTTAAGGAGCATTTGGTTTCAGAATTTTTAATACTTTTAAGAATTACGCTAAAAAGTAGTCCTCATTTGTGTGTGTGTGTGTGTGCGCATGTATGCCTCATTACTTAACAAAATATGGTTTCTCCGTGTTATTTTGGACATGGTTTTAAGACAAAAGATGTTTAAAAGCTATGTAAATTAAATTTCTTCTCTATTTGCTTAAAACTGGAGTGAAAATGCCAATTCATTCAAAATATATATTTCTCTGCTCATACTCATAAAGTCATAAGGGAACAAAAAACAGAAGGCAAAGGAGTGTCAGTAACATATGTATTTATGACTTCCAAGTTTTGGGTTGTAATTCTCACTGATAGAGCACTTACTTTGAAGTAGGCATTTTGCATATAGCATCTCAATAAAAATTTCATAACATTTTAAGGCAAATGTTATGTTTTAATGATGAGACATCTAAGGCTGAGAGAGATTAATTTAAACCTAAAGTTAAATAGCAGTAGGGTTGATGTTTTTTCCTATTCTTCAGTTCTTACTGCCTCCTAAAAATATTTTCTTTCTTTCACTATTAGAAAATGAAGTAAAAGGGAAATACTTTTCATATAACTACTTATTCTTACTAAGTTTCTTCTCATATTTCAGTCATAGGGGAAGATTTTAATATTCATAACTAAATACCAACTACTTTTAAGAAAAAGGCACAAAGTATCTTCAAAATCCAGGACTAGAAAAATCACAAAACTATTTTCCTTCCATCGCGCACGCGCGCGCGTGCACGTGTGTGTATGTGTGTGTGTGTGCGTGCGTGTGTGTCTGTGTGTGTGTAAAACTTATGGAATATGCCACAAATAAAACAAAAACTATTTTTTTCTAGTTCGAACAAAAACTCTTCTCATTATTTTTTTTTAAAGTGACGTGTTTTCCATCATTTAAACTCTTACATGATTTTTATCAGGTTCAATGGTATCCTCTTCACTTATTAGTAGGCAAAAGTATCATTCATCAACAAAATGCATTAAAGTTATTTTAGAATATTTGTTGTTAAAATTGAAGTCACAATTGACACTTAAATAGTTTGGGGGCTTATGATAAACATAGAATTCATAATTTCTTTAAAATTCACAGTCAAAATTAGCAAAGTAGCTGTGCACTGACTATGCTCCAATGTCATCTAAAATGTAATAAAAATAATTAAACGTTTAGACTACCTAATCTTTAGCTTAAAAACGACCAGTTACATAAAGCGAAAATATTAGTTTACAAAGAATAACCAAAGTCTGATATTGAAATATGTAAAATATACACACATGTGTATTTCTTGAAAAACGTACGTAAAACTTTAACACGCTTTAAACAATAATCATGGGATGTTTTTAGGTTATTTTTAATGCACCAGATTTATTTACCAATTCAAAGACTCACTAATAGGCCGATACTTTAAAAATTCCTGGGCGGAGGGGTGGTTAAACAAATTAACACATATTAGATGTATAAGGACCAGAGCCACAGGCAGACGTAAGTTATAAATATTACCTTTTTAGTAAAAAAACGGTGGTAGTTTATAAGATATCCAAGTAATACGGATTTGTTAAAACAATACTTAGAATGTTGGACACATAAGATATAATGGCTGAAAACTTTAGGGGATTGAAAAATGAACAATAAACTCAACCAACACAAAATGCATTATTCACCCCTCAAAGAAAATAATAATAATAATAAAAAAGTTACAAAAGGTCCTCGTAACACAGAGAAAAGGAATTAGGTGTTGACTGGCACCCATTTCTTCCTGTTTTAAAACCCGCCCCTCGTTACTAGGCCTCTCTCCATCGAAACGAAAAGACAGGTGCTTAGCACTCTCGAGGACTCGACGAGGCCCGGCACCCTTCTCAACCTCCGCCGGCCGAAAGCGCAGCGCCTCCCGGAAGTGCCGGGCGGCCAGGCTCTGCCAGCCAGTTTTCGCAGGCGGAGCGCGGCCCAGGGCGTGCGCTAGTGGCTGGGGTCTGGGGGGAGCGGTGACAGGAGGCGGGGCCCACACGAGGCCCCGCCTATCCCCGGCTGCGGCCTCCCGCTACTGCCAGGGTTTGGGGGTCTGCGGGTCCGGGGCTCGGAGGCCTGGCTCAGGTTCGCGCGGAGGCGGCTCCTCCTTGTCCCCGAGCGGCCGCGGCCCCCGCTGCTCGAGGTGCAGCTGCAGCAGGGCCCGGCGGTACATGGCCTCCAGCTTTTCGAGGCGGGCCCTCAGCGCCCTGGGGCTGCCCGGCTCGTCCTCGGGACCGCCGCCTCTCGCC